AAAAAAAAAAAAAAAAAAAAAAAAAAAAAAAAAAGGTAAAGATTTACTTATCATCTATTTATAGTACTGTAAAATATATGGTTACCGTACTGGGATATTACAGCACACTGTCTAGCAGTGTGTCCTCACTGGGAGTTTTCAGCACCGTCCCCATCATTCTGCCAGTGAGAGCAAGAGTGCTTGGGGAGATGTCAGAGGTTAAATGATCTGGAGGTTAAAACAGCTATATGCAATCTACACGAACGCATGCTGTGGCTAGCACCATTTGCACCAACAGCTGGGCAAATAAAAAGCTAACTAGTATCTTAAGCAATATTAGTTATGTGACTAAGATCCCTGTATCCTCCTTTTAAATAAATATCCCTCTCTTTATCTACACTGGGGATTTGTCCACCATTTGTGTAACTATTGATGGATACCTACTGGTGTAGTTACATCAGTGCAGTCTGCTTGTGGAAGCTTTTAGCAATATACGTATTATTGCATTTTCATTGGTATAGCTTATTCCAGACCCCTAAGCAAAAGACACTCTACTGGCAGAAACATCTTCTTGCTGATATAATTGCATCTATAGTAGGGGCTTTTGTCTGCTCAGCTGTGTTGGTCACAGATCATGTCTCATTGCGTTCCTGACCAAACAGAGCTGTGCTGGCAAGAAATTGTAGTATAGATAAAAACCCTGAACATCTGTTTAAGTAGCTGATTGATTTTAATAGTATTGAATTTGGGTCTATCCCTGAGAGATTTGAAATCCCAGTGACTCATTTGCGGCAGTCACATGAACTTAGGAGGAGACCCTGTGTTTGAAATATAACTTTCCATTTTGAGAATAGTTTCTTCCTTTTACCAGCAACAGCAGATACAGCATAAATAGGTATCTCAAACTGAGAAGTTTTTCCTTGCTGGAACTTGTTCTATATTGAAAGGTTTTCCTGAAACATCAAGCATCTCAAGCTTGAAGAACTGCAAAAAACTGGAACTTAGATGTTTGCAAAATTAGGTACTATGAAAAATCAGCGAACCTTGGACTTAAAAAAAAAAAAAAAAAAAAAACAAAAAAAAAAAAAAAAAAAAAAACAAAAAAAAAAAAAAAAAAAAAAACAAAAAAAAAAAAAAAAAAAAAAACAAAAAAAAAAAAAAAAAAAAAAACAAAAAAAAAAAAGGAAAAGAATTATAACTAGTTTATTTTTAATGCATTTATGTCTCATTTTTATTTCCCACATGCATACACAGTCCACTAATGTTTTTGTATCTTAAATAACTTATCGTTTAAAAAAAAAGGTTTTTCAGTTTGTTTTTCTTTCCAATAACAATCTATCTCCAAGACTTAATGAGGCAGAGGCAAGGACGTTTGATTATTGTTTTATATCCATTGTGTGTTGAGAACATGGAAAAACAGCAAACTCAGGAATCCTCAAGGGCTGGGTTTTCTGCAATTGGTGTGACATTACCATGTGTCTCTAATTAGAACCATAGTGGCGTCAGTGTATCTCCTTTCAACAGGCCTCAGGATGATATTTATCAGCAAACCAAAGGTTTGGGCCAAGACGGAAGCTGCTTCTAATTTAAATTTTAAAAATTGTTTTAATGTTTTATGACTCCTAACACATTAATTGCAATTAATTTCAGCTGTTGAAGGAGACAGAAGAGAATGTTACTGAGAATGTCTATTGTTTTGTTGAATCTATACATAAATTTGGTGATTACTGTATTTGGGACCCAGAGGCAGCCTTTTCTCACTTTTGTTCTGTTTCTACTACGTTTTCCACATTCTACATAAATCAACAGTAGGGGACACTGTTGAGCTGCGGTTTTAATACAGGGGCTGTACAAGACTTGAGAAAATACATAGAAATGTAGCATTAACATCAAGAATTATCCCTGTTGCTTCAAGTTAGCTGTAATCTCTAAGATTCCATAACACAGGAAATCAATTGTGGGTTAACAAATTCAACAGCAATTTAACATAAAAAGTGCAGAGTTTTGATGCATGTTTGGCTTCTGTAGAATAAGTTAAATAAAAAAAAGCATTTATGAAGGTATCTTCTGGCCTGCATTCAATGCATGTTTTCCAAATTAAAATCATTTTAGTTGGATTTATTTAAAAAAAAAATTTACTGTGTAATTTAGAAATTGTGTAGCTTGTTGCTGTTAATCTTGTGTCAGAAGTTGTTGCGATTCTTTAAAAAGGAAATATTTTTAACAAGCAGTGTGTTTTCCTTTACTTACCTCTGTATGAGCTGTACAACCCTTGTCATAAGTTTTACGTGTATGCATGTAAGATTTTACATAAGTAGGTCTCGGGGTCCTTGCTTTTATTTTCCTGTTTAATGGCTTAACTATATTATAAAAAATCCCCAAACCCCTGTCTGCCCCCTCTCTCCTTAAACTGTTTCTGTTAACTGTAATTGGCCTAGTGCACAGGAAAATATAATACTTCAAAAAGTTTAACCCAATGTCTCCAGACCTCAGGGCTATATTTAATATTTTTATACATTATAGCAAGCGTACAGTTTTATCATGATGCTTATTCCTGGCATTTCTTTCCCCGAGGATAGTTTTACTCAGAGCTCACTCTTGTGATGTAAATGTTAAACCTTTCATTTGAATGACATTCTGATAAAACATCACATTTCCCCATAACATTACCTCATGAATTTATGAACCATTAAATCTGAGGCAGTTTAGCCAACCATCCCTCCCTTCTTTCCCCCTTAAAAATATGAAGGCTATTCAAATGTTTGTATTTTATTTTTAAAAAGTCATCCAAGATTAACACGTTATCATGTGCAACATCAGGGTAAATGCTCACAGAATTCAAAGAGAGAGTTACCATTTGAAAGGGACTGTACAAGCTTTGCTTTCTGGGTAAAGAGAAGTCTGAAAAGCTGAAATCTCATGTGATGTGAAGAAGTCTTGCTATAGCTGTTCTGAGATTCAGTGGAGAGACAATTTGTCTCTCAGGGTCTGATATCATGCAAACCTCGCAAACTGACATTTATTTTACCTATAAAAATGTTTAACACCCTGCCAAAGCAGGAAGAATTGTGGAAATCCTATGACTTTGTTTTTATTCAGTTGTAAATTTGGTGAAACAAAACATAGTGCAATGGAATGTTTTTGCTTTTGAAATGGAAATAAAGAGACTACTTATGATTTTACGTTTGAATGACAAATCTTAAAGGTTTTTTTTTTAATGTATCCAGTGTTCCTTTTAAAAATGAAGACACTACTAGTGTTGTATGGTATGAATTGTATTTCCTGCTTTGACAGTCCATTTAGCAACATAGCAATGTATTTATATGGCAGTTGGCCTTAATAACCTTTATTGACTTTAGTGGGTAAGAGCCAAGACTGGGATTATTAAAATGTATCAGTTTCATTGCAGTATAAAATCACAACATATATAATTATGTTAGGTAGGCTAGGCTCCATGTAATCCCACCCATTTATGTAAGAATTTGGCAAAGGGGAAAAAATCATGGTGCTAAAACATACAGAAATATATAAACAACTGCAAGCTCTAGTTAATAACACAACTATCTGCCTGCTATAAAAGATTTCACTTATAAGAATGAAGCATATAGAAGTAAAATGTAAGTTTTTGGAATATAATTACTAATGCTGTAGTTTAAATTCAAGTGATTTAATAATCTGTTACACTGTTTTAATATCCTAAAATAGGTAGTAGTTATTAAGTATAACATATCATTCTTTTACTTTTTAAATGCACTATAAATACAGAAATGTACACATTTTATGTGATTATAATCAGCAGGGTGTCATTCCATTCTATCTGATATCTTTAAGCACAACTGTTTCCTCTTGGGGCTCCTTTTTGTAGCTATGTAGCTAACCGTGATGCTTGTTACTACTGTTATCCTCAATAGAATCCTTTTTATCAATCTCGAATTGATATAAGAAAGTAAGGCCGTATGCTTGTTAAATTTTTTCTTTTTGAGTTCTATTTCATTATTTTCTACCACTGCTGCATATGAACATAAGAAAGTTTTTCTTAGGAGTCACTGTTCTCAGAGACTTAAAGTTTGGTGGTAACACTTCAGTCTAAGCTGAAACTTAACATACATTACCTCAGCCTAATGCAATAATATATTTTTGTGTTCTTTCTTAATCAGAAAAAGCTGTAAATGTCTAGCTATATCACCAAGTAGAACAGTGCAAAAATAATCATGATGATCTATAAGGCAAAGAATGAATATTTTAAAAATAAATCATCCTGTTTTTCAGAAACTGACATTTTTTAACAGCTAACATATTTAAGAAATTCGTTAAAAAAAAAGACTGGTGAATATTTGTTCATAGCTTGGAGAAATACGCAGGGCTGTTGAAATTATAAGATTCTGACTGTTAATTGTAAAAATTCAGTTATTTCTGAGCTGAGATTTAAATTTCATCCTTAATTTTCCCATTGTCCATAGATATCACAGTTTTCATGGTCCTGTATTGGACGGCTGGGTGATCATATTTGCCTAATGAGCTGTGAAATATAGGTACAACATGGGAACTCAAAGGACCAAATTTCAGCCATATCTTCTGAATTTCTGGACTCTTATCTGTTTATGCCAGACTCTTTAAAAAAGATTTTTATACAGTGTTTTTTTATGTAGACCAAGAGCAAAACATTCTTAGAAAAGTATCTTTAATT